CGACCGGCGGTCATACCTCAAACGCTTCCGCAGACCAGGTCTTGAAAATATCCACCGACAGGCGTTATGCAAACAGGTCAATACAATGGCACGCAAGGTTGTCTATTGTCCGTACTGCTCAGCAACAAATGGTGCTGTCAAAAAGGCAGGAGTACTGAAGATCATCCACGATAAATTCCGCGCGAAGAAAACAGCGGACGAGATGGAAAAGTGGAAGCGTACATTTGCTCCAGCGGTAGAGGCGCAGAAGGAACTTGGGATGTACTTAAACAAGGCAATCCATGAAGATTTAAATCCACTGAAAACCCTCGATCTCTTCAAGAGAATATCCGATGAGGTCGCGTTTATGTCTACCCTCAAATGTTTACGAGACTAACGTCTACTTCCAGGATTGCGAGTTGCTTGGTCTACGGCCTGAGTTCGGTCGTCCAGAAGAGTATATCTGGCAGTACATCTCTGTTCCACCAGTTTGCATCAGACCATCCGTCGCCCAAGATGGAGCTTCCAACGAAGATGACCTTACTGTCAAACTCACAGAAATCGTTTTCACCAATGCTCTCATAAAGCAGGGTCTGTCTAAAGGAGCGCCCACTGCACAATTCATGGTATGTGAGGACTATTCGCGGTACTTGCTGTTGCTCAACTCACGCTCAGGAACACTGGGAATTCCTCCAACTTTCTGTCGCCATGTATATTAACTCCGAACTCCCTGGGGTACCCTCACAGGCTGGTCAAAAGCCGATGAGGGGCTTTGTACAGCGCCTGAAGGGTAAACAGGGTCGATTCCGTGGTAATTTGTCTGGAAAACGTGTCGACTTCTCCGGTCGTACCGTGATCTCCCCTGACCCAAACTTGCGTATCGATGAAGTCGCAGTACCAGAGCGTGTCGCGAAAGTATTGACATACCCGGAACGTGTGACTTCTCACAACATTGACGGTCTCAAACAAGCCGTTCGCAATGGGTGTGATGTACACCCTGGCGCTAACTACGTAACAGCGGGCAGCAGTGGCTTCAAGAAATTCTTGAAGTTTGGTAATCGTAATGCGGTGGCTGACAGTCTGAGAATCGGGGATGTTGTCGAGAGGCACATCATTAATGGTGACATCGCCCTGTTCAATAGGCAACCCAGTCTTCACAAGGTTTTTCTCTCGTAGTAGCTTCAAACCTTCACTGACTTCGTCCCGTTTAGCTCTCAATCATGTGTCACAGAGTCAAGGTTCGTCCTTGGCGCTCCTTCCGTCTAAATGAGTGTGTTTGTGGCCCCTACAATGCCGATTTTGATGGCGATGAAATGAATCTTCGTCAGTTTTTTTTACCATACTGGATGATGTTGGAATACTCATGATCTCTCGAATAGATATTCCTCAGACGGAGGAAGCAAGGACGGAAGCGCTCGAGCTCATGAGCGTGAAACATAATCTAGTCACCCCTCGAAACGGAGAGCCTGTGATCGCCGCCATTCAAGATTTCATCACGGCTTCCTACTTGATGACTCGTAAAGATACATTTTTCGACCGTCGCCAGTTCACACAAATATGTTGCTACTTTGCCGATGCCGACCTACAGATTGACATACCCCCGCCGACGATATGGAAGCCTATACGACTATGGACAGGCAAACAGATCTTCAATGTTCTCATGCGTCCTAACAAGCAATCCAACGTCTTTGTGAACGTTGAATGCAAGTGCAATAAACCGGAAAAGCTAAAACCTGAACATTATCCATCCATCAAAGACCCAGCCCCAGACCTGTCTCCGAACGATGCTTGGCTTGTCATCGTTAATAGCGAAATTATGTGTGGTGTCATGGATAAAGCCATCGTCGGCAGCGGGAAGAAGAAGTCGATATTCGGAATAATCATGAGGGACTACGGCCCGCATGAAGCTGCTGCAGCCATGAATCGTGTAGCAAAACTGTGCGCTCGTTGGTTGGGTGCGTCTTGTCGTCAATCAGACACGTGTCACGTTTTAATTTTCTTTCAGCCAACTTTGGTTTCTCTCTCGGAATCAACGACGTCATTCCAGGGCCTATCCTTGCGTCAAAGAAAAACCAGATGGTTGAGGCTGCGTACGCTGAATGTACAAACCTTATTACGCAGGCAAAGAAGGGGAAACTGGAGAATAAACCAGGATGCAACCAAGAGCAAACGCTTGAAGCTATGATATCTGGAATTCTTTCAAGAGTTCGGGACAAGGTCGGAGACATCTGTATGCAGGAACTGAGTCGACATAACGCACCCCTGATCATGGCAACTTGTGGTTCTAAAGGTTTGTCCCTCGGATTCGGATTTGTCAATGTTGCTTAGTGTTGCTAGGTTCTGTGATCAATGTTTCTCAGATGGTCGCCTGTGTCGGCCAGCAAATCATTGCAGGTCACCGAGTTCCAGATGGTTTTCAAGATCGTTCTCTGCCGCATTTCCTTAAGAAGTCGAAAGAACCTCCATCCAAAGGTTTCGTTAGAAACAGCTTTTTTAGCGGTTTGCTACCCACCGAATTCTTGTTTCACGCTATCTCCGGTCGTGAGGGTTTGGTCGACACTGCAGTGAAGACCGCCGAGACCGGTTACATGCAACGACGTCTGATGAAGGCACTGGAGGATCTGACCACCCAATATGATCTATCGGTGCGCAACTCCACTGGCGGCGTTGTGCAGTTCAGATATGGTGACGATGGTTTGGATCCTGCATGTCTTGAAGGTGATGCGCAGCCAGTCGAGTTCGAGCGGGCATGGACGCATGCTTTGGTGTGTACCGAAAATGCTGTCTATCTGGTTCCGATATCTCACCTTCTTGCAGGCAATAGGAAACCGTCGTAGTCGCGGTTTACTCCCCTTCGAGATTGTGGAGCTCATCGATCTAGAGCTCAGGAAACCAAAGTTCACCAGCGAGTGCACACAAGCATATCTTGATTCTATACGAGACTTCGTTGTTCAGCATATTGCTCATCATCTCGCTATGATGCGCAAAAGCCAGGGAATGTTTGAGGCTCTGGAGCGCTCAGATGAATGGGATTGTGATACCGACTTGTCTATGGGAGCTTCAGGTTTGCACAGAAAACGTGTTCGCGCTCTGGATTCTGATACATTCCTTAGCTGCTTCCAAGGCTATTGTAGATAACAAGGCCAAAGTTACCGAGTCTCAGCTCCAGCATTTTCTTGCCTTGTGCTGGAAAAAGTACGTCAAAGCAAGGATTGAGCCCGGTAAGTGGAAGCTATGCGAGTTGCCTTCAGGGAAACTGAGTGTATTCTAGGTTCCACTGTGGGTGCAGTTGGTGCTCAGTCCATTGGAGAACCAGGAACACAAATGACCCTCAAGACTTTCCATTTTGCTGGCGTTGCTTCGATGAACGTCACACTTGGTGTTCCACGTATCAAAGAAATCATTAACGCGTCCAAGACTATTAGCACGCCCATTATTAGCTGCAAGCTTGTTACTCCCAACAGCGAGCCTTCTGCGCGTATTGTTAAGGGCCGTCTTGAGAAAACTCATTTGGGCGACGTAAGAAATTTTCGGCTCGTGAACTTAGGATGTCATTCTGAATTACGCGCAGATTGCTGCTGTTTTTGAAGAAGCATGGGCGCCAGAGTACACTTATATCGGTGTGATTATAGATATGGATACCATCCAGAAGCTCCAGGTCAGTCCTCTAACATATCATTCAATGTGTTCTCACTTGTCACATCAGCTTGAACTCACTTTGGACGATATAAAGTGGGCAATCGTAGCCACGAGAAAGCTCAAGATTAAAAAGAAGTAAGATCCGTGTCATGTATATGTTGTCACAAAACTTACTGCGGACAGTCCATTACCGTCATTCCTCGTAGAAACCGCTTGCGCATCTACATTGATGGGTCGGACAAATACTACAGGTTGCGAGAATTGAAGCGAGTTTTGTCGGATGTAGTAGTCAAGGTTAATCTCTTGGTTTTGCCCCTGATCAGTCTTTGAATCATTTCCACAGGGAGTACCGACTATTCAGCGTGCCGTCATCAACATCAAAGAGAAGGACGATGTCAAAGGAAAAAAAGGAGACAAGGAACTACTTGTAGAAGGTTACGGACTACAGAAGGTCATGACCACAGAGGGTAGGCTTTTCAGTTCTTCAAGCCAGCCGTGTTTTCCTGATCTAGATACAGGGATCATTGGCGAGGCCACGACTTCCAATCATGTAATTGAATCAGCAAAAGTCTTGGGAATTGAAGCAGCAAGACGGACCATCATCGACGAAATCCAGTATACCATGCAAAGCCACGGAATGAGCATTGACCCTCGTCATGTCATGTTGCTTGGCGATGTCATGAGCTACAAGGTATGAGTGCGGTGCAATACCGAATTTTCTAGCTAACTGTTTACTCAGGGAGGAGGTTTTGGTATCACTCGCTTTGGTGTCGCGAAAATGAAGGACAGCGTTCTTATGCTTGCGTCATTCGAAAAGACCACGGACCATTTGTTTGATGCAGCAGCCTTTGGGAAGAACGACAGTATCGCTGGTGTATCAGAAAGCATTATAATGGGTAACGCTGCTGCAAATTGCGGAACTTCTATGTAAGTGTGATCATAGTCTACGACCCATTCATACTCTAACGGTATCTTTCCTAGGCCTGCTTTATATTCACCGTCGCCTCACATAAGCAAACCACGAAGATTATTGTTTGAAGATGCGTTGTAAAAGTTATTTCTCCACCGGGCTAAGTATCTTATTTATCTATCGACGTTTGTACAAGAAGAATTGTGTGCGCAAACTAAGCCGTGGCTTGTTATTTAAATGCCAGGTAGTGTCAAAATCCTTGTGAGGCTGCTCGGCTGAGCAAGGCAAAAGATGAAAAAAGGATCGACCACATTTATTTCTTCCTGCCTAGCGGCAAATGATCACACCAAAATTTGAATGTTCAGGATAGAGCTACGAATTTATTCCCTCATAGACTAACATCTTCCTCGCGCCTCGGCTGGCTTAGATAAGCAATTTTGTGGACACACGCGGGGCTATGGGCTGGTCACCAGTCTACTCCATACTTACAGGTCGAAGGAGCTCTCGTCAGGTACCAACTTCTGACGGTCATTGTCTTCCTGCCATCCTCTTTGTCGATACATTCATTAATTCCATTTATGAAAAATGCTGCAGTCGGTCAGCATTTGCTCTCAGGTCAGAGCAGTCGATGGGCCTCTCATTGCACGCTTGTTCTGACGTTTTCAGGCGCCCTCTCGGGGTTCGCGGGAGCCATCTTATTACAGCCTCGTGAGCAACTTGTGGAAGCTCTTAGTATCCGATTTCATTTGACTTGGTTTGGTGCACAGTCGACCTCCTGAAGACCAGGATTCAACAAGGAGATTCTGCTTTAAATGCCCGGTAGGCTTCACGTGCGACCATACTGCTGAATAGCTCATGTCTCGGAAGCAATACAACCATTATATGGCATACGACTAAGGACATTCTCCGGAACGAAGGCAAAAGGGTTATGGACGGGTACAAGTGCTACGTTGGTTCGGTACGTTGCATTATTTTCCATCTCTCTCATCGATGACTTTTCTCTATACCAGCAATGTTCCAGGAGTGGCCCTCTACTTTACGAGCCTGACTTATCTACGCTCTATCATGGCGAACTCACCCTATTTTTCCGCACAACAGCGGTACAGCCGTGACAACTCTAAAACTGTTCTTCCGAAGCTGTCTAGCAGGGCAACCTTATAGCAGGCGCGACCGCTCGAGTCGGTGTCGGATTGATCCTCAACCCATTTTCTATCTTGAAGGCGCGTTTTGAGGTTCGTGCGGTCGCGTAAACCACTGTGATTTTAATATTCTAGTGTTACGCAGAGCGAGTTGCATGCATACCGTAGTTATCAGGCTCGCTTCTTTCCATCGCCCGTATGGGACCGTCTGAACTTATGCGCGGATTTGTTGCCTCGTCGCTGCGGGATGCACCATATGCTGGTCTTTTTGTCGTCATATACGAGAGTATTAAACGGGAGACAAGTGAGATCGTTCTTGGTGATACAAGAATCCAACTCATATGTTCCAGCGTACTTATCCCAACAGCACATGCAGCAGGCATACATAGCTTTTCAGCAGCATCTGCAGGTGCCATTGCCACAATGGCTACACACCCATTTGACGTTATAAAAGTCATTTCTTCACGCTGTCTCGCCTTCCAGAATATCTGATAGCTTACTCAGACGAAAATGCAAGTTCGTTCAGAAGACAGATTACCGTGGTTTTACTAACTATCCTTAGA